GGATTTGGAAGCGAGCTGAGGGAATTCTGGCTGGGGAATGACCACCTTCACCTCTTGACCTCCCTGGGTGAGAGGCTTCTCCCTGGACCCTCCTGCTGCCAGGGGAGAGGGGCGCATGGCTTTGGCTGTTCAGAGCCTCTGGTGAAGCCTGAGCCCCCTCTGCGGATGTAGTAACAATTGTGAGGCCAGAGCTCCAGGCTGAGGGTCTTTGAGCCATGTGAAGACTGAACCTCATGGCTCTTCTCTCTATCCTAGGAGAGAACGAGTTGCGTGTTGACTTGATGGATTTTTTAAATAAACATTCCTTCGCCAAATACGGATCCTTCCAGGTGGCAGCGGAATCCGATCAGTATCGGCTGACTGTGGGCAACTTCACGGGGGGCCCAGCAGGTGAGTCCCCCAAAGAAGTCCTTCTCCATGAACTTCCCCAACCTGTGCAGTGCCAGTCTGGCCAAGGACTGCCCTCCCTGGCTGGCTGATGCCCTGGAGATGCCCTGGAAACCCACCTGCCTCTCTTCCCCACCCCCCCAGGCGACTCTCTAAAGAGGCACCACAACATGTCCTTCTCCACCCGGGACAAGGAGCAGGACCCCCAAAAAAAGAAATGCGCCACAAGGTTCAAAGGGGCCTGGTGGTACCACGGCTGCCATGACTCCAACCTCAACGGGAAATACTTGCTGGGAGAACATCTGTCCTTTGCAGACGGCATCAACTGGAGAACAGGGAGAGGCCACAATTACTCTTACAAGCAGGCAGAAATGAAGTTCAGGCCTACGACATAGGGGCCTCCTTCAGCTGACGGGGGTTTCCTCTGAGGGGTGTCCAAAGGGCATCTAGTCCATCCCCTCTGCTTTTGATTTGCTAACTTGCATTTGAATTTTACAAAATGCAAATGATTAAATGATCTTTAAGCAGCTGCTCCTTTTCCATCTGATTCCCTTCTTCTGTGCAAGAGCTGAGCAGCCAAGGGATGGCAAATGAATAAATACGGTTAAGGTTAAGGTTTATTCAACTTGTATGCCGCCCTATTCCCGAGGGACTCAGGGCGGCTAACAAACCAAAGGGAAGGGGAATACAAACAGAACACAAGACCAACAAAATTAAAATTAAAACAAAACAACAGTCACAACAGTTTAGGTGGGGCCAGGAGCTCGTCAGCCCCAGGCCTGCCGGAACAGCCAGGTCTTTTATTAATACAATTAATAAAAGTTTGATCTGCAACTCAGCATCTAAGCGTCCTCCATTCCAAGGGCATAAAATCTGCCAGAGGTAGAGCTCTGAACTTCTCATAACAGAGCAGGACCAGCCGGCCACCTCCCAGGTGGTTCCCACACATCGTGAAGCCCCAAGTGGTTGCAGAGCATCTGCATCAGCCTGGTTGGTCCCAAACTGAAGGGGCTGCAGGGGGCTGCAGCCTTTGACCTCCCCGAGAGTCTCCCAGGCTTTGAAAGCAACTTCGCTTCCCCCCTTCGGTCTCCCAAGGATCATCCAATGGTGAGGGAGTTCAGCACCACAGCCAGCGCCTGCCTCCCTCCCCCCTCCCCCATGTCAACTGTTGGAGAACATGAAAACAAAGCAGGAAGATGCGGAAGGGAACTTGAGTCTTCCCCTGGGGTCCCTTTGCCTGGGCACCCGCCTGGGGTAGCTGGGCGGTGGGGAGAGGTGGGGGGCACCTGTGGGTCAGAGCTGGACTTCCCCTTCCTGGAGCCCTGATGGCAGAGGATGAGAGCAAGAGGGAAAGCGGCCCATCTTATATGATTCTCTCCACCTCCCCAAGTGGCTTTTAGGGATGTTTGCTCGTACCCATCCTGTATCTTTACACGTTGTGCCGCTTTTAATTCAGATTTATTTATTTGTTTGTTTTCTTGTTAAATTCATTTGCCGTCCATCTCGTATCAAAACAACTCTGGGCATCTTACATTTGTCTGCTCTTACCCATCCTGGATCTTTACACCTTGTGCCGCTTTTAATTCAAATAATCTGTGGCTCACAACCCCACGTGGGGCTGGTCAGGCCCTGCACATGGAACCCCTCCCTGGCCTCGGATGGGAAGGTCCAGACTTCTCAAAGGCAACATCTGTGAACAAAGGAGAAAGTCCATCAGTTCCATCTGCCAGCCAATGTCGGCTGGCGACTCCCCGGGGGAGGGCCTTCTCTGTTGCAGCTCCGGCCCTCTGGAACGAGCTCCCTGTTGAGATCCAGA